AGTTTTTTGTTTCCTTCTATTTGCCTTTTCTAACTTTGTTTTCCAAAGGTATTCTAGAACTGGTTTGGTACCCTTCCCCTAACCCCTTCGCCCCTCACACACGTAACCATTATCTTTAGATAGCTGAGCAAGAAATTATGGAACTGTCTTTATAGCAGGAAAAAATTGCTGCATGAGGGGCAATTTTAGTGGCTCAACATATGTTCACTGACCCAAAGTTTGGGGAGTGACCTTTGCTCTGTTAGTCTGCATTGGCTGCCTGAGTCCAAATGGACTTACTCATTTATTCAGAATGTAGTATTAAATACCTACTATGTGCCAGAACTTGTTTTTTGTTGTTTTTGTTTGTTTGTTTGTTTGCTTGTTTGTTTTTTTGGCACAGGAATGCACAGTTGATTGAGACACATACATCCTTATAGCCATAGAGTGTACATGGAACCATTGAGAAAATCAAAACAGGGTTAGGGGCGAGATAATGACAGGGAGTGCAGAGAGGGCAGGTAGGAGAAATTAGTTCAAAAGGGAGTGGTAAGCTAGGACTTCTCAGAAGAGGTATCTTTTTGACTAAAGTCTGCAGCCTTTCCCAGATGCTGACTCAATTAATTTGAATTCATTTCAATTTCTCCCAGATCCAAAACAAAAGGACCAATTTATGAAAGTATGGGAATTCAGTTCTCACCACTTCACTAGGGCAGAAAGAGCAGCTGCTATTCTCATGCACCATTAGCCCTCTGGTTCATATGAGGCCATGGGGTAGGAAAAGGCTCCGATGCCCAATGCCTATAGAGTTATAGGGTATATGAGCTAACAGCAAGGCTTATATCTGCCCTACGGGTGGGACCAATAGAAACAGGAGTTTCTTATAGTAAAACAGGATTTGGGGAGCACTGCTCTTGCATGGATGGAACCATCAGCTTCCTTTATGCCAACTGCATTCCATGACCCTGTTGGCTGTACCCACATAGGAAAGTATATGAGCCCAGATATCTTCTGAGGATTGGCTAGTTTTGTGTCTGTAACTGAGTGTATGTCAATTTCTCATTTTCCACAACAGCAGGAAAATCATTTTCAAAGTTCTTTCCTAACCTCATATAACATGTTTTAATAGCCAGAAAAAAAAGTGCTGCCAGGAGGGTTCAAATCTATTCTGCTAATATTTTCTGAGAATATTCTAATCACCTGGCATTATGCCACTGGCTGGATGCTTCTGCTGGTTTTGTAAGTTTGAGCAGCTTACTTAAATATTCTGAGTCTTGGTTTCCTCATCACATATATATGTTATTTGTAACATGAGATTAACTATACATTGACCACTTAAAGTTATTAAGATTAAATAGGATCATGCTTTTCAACAAACCAAATAAAACTTGCCTCACTGCCTAGAATCTAATAAATGATGAATGAATGTCAGCTGACACAACAGTGATGGCAATATGATATTGATGAATTTACACCCATTAATCTGGTATGTATTTACTGAACAGCAATCATAAGCCAGGTTGGTATTCAGTAAATATTTATAAAAAATATAACCCAGGTTTATATTCTTGGGGTACAATAGTGAAAACAAATATAAAAAAATGTTGGCTTTGTGGATCTTAAATTACGCCATTCTTGAACACCTAGTTTGGCTTAGAATTCTGAAAGAATAATATTTAGTAAATAATTGTTAGTAAGTCCAGTAGCAACTTAAAAATTAATGAATAGGCTCTTGGCCAATGTGGCTCAGTTGATTGAGTATCATCCCATGCACCCAAAGGTCACTGGTTCGATTCCCAGTCAGGGTATATATCCAGGTTGCAAGATTCAATCCCTGGACGGGGTGCCTACAGATCAATGTTTCTTTCTCATCTCTCTCTCTCTCTCTCTCTCTCTCTCTCTCTCTCCGCTCTCTCCCTCTCTCCCTCTTTCCCTCTCTTCCCCCCTCTTCCTCTAAAATAATTTTAAGAAACATTTAAAAGTAATTAATGAATAGGCTAAAGTCTGATACTGAGCAAAAACATCCAACTTTTATGTTTTACATATTTATGGAAGGTAGATTTCTAAATTATCTTTTTATCTAGCAGTAAGCTCTTATGATCTAGGGTGAAACTAACCAGATTTTCCTATTTAACAATAAAGCCATATGTCTGACAATGAAAGTTTGCTTATGAAACGAAGTATTTGAATTGGGGATTGTCTCAGAAAGTCTCACACATATGGTGCCCATATCTATGAAATCACCCAGGGGAAATTATAAAGAAACACATCCTGTATGTCACTCCCTGAGATCAACATATTCCCTCAGTAAATCTGGCTCTGAAATGTGCCTTTTGCCCTGTGGCCTGGACTGAGATGCTGTGTGCGGCCATCAGGGCAACACTGCAGTACCTCGCAGAAACAGAAAGGTTCCGTTCTAGCCACATTGCTTCAAGTTACCAGCAACTTTGCCCAGGCTTCAAAAGGACATTCTGTAGACGCCTATGATGTCAGGTGGTGTTCCCACTTCAGCTGTGGCCCACAGATGCTTTGCCAACACTCTCTGTCCACGTGTGTTGATAAAAGCAAGGAAAATGTGAATAATGGAAAAAGAATAGCAGGCAGTTCTTTTGCTGGCGATGGTGATTTTAAACACAAGTGAAACACACACTTCAGCTTCTCCCTGGCAGAGGGCTTTCGTCCCCTTGAAATGTTTCACGCTTGTGAGAATGACTCACGTCTTGGAAACAGACAGGTTCCAAGTCTGGTGCTCCCAGCACCTTTCGGCATTGGCTAACGCACCCTGTGGGAGATTTAAGCGTCCCAACAGCTGCTTGAATTAGCAAGGGATGCTGTGCTCTAGCCTTTCACTGAAAAGATTTCACCATTCTCCAGCAGCCTGAATTTTCCAGTTGTGCTGTGATGACCTTTATTAGGCTCGAGTTGTACATGTTATGCTCGCTCTGTCTTTGGGCTGTGCAATGCCCTAGGACCCTGCTGGTATGAGCATGAGCTGGTGGGAGGAAAAGAGACTGCAGGATGCCCACTCTCTCTTTTAAAAGTCCCGAGTGGAAGCGACCCATCTCCAGTTTCCGAAGGCTGGAACACCAGGGCCACAGCAAGCAGTCTGTGCTCCAAAGGAGGAAGCATACTGGTGAGCAGCCACACTCAGTGTAATGCAGACCCACCTCAGTGTATGACCACAGGGACTAGGACGGGAATGGTGCCTCTTGGAGCTGAGAGCAACGTGGTGGCCACACAACCAGCAACAACCAAGATAATAATACAAGATAATTGAATGCTATGTGGACATGCAATTTTAAGCCTTAATGTGGAAGAGGGAAATACAGATGGCATATCCAACAAGAAATTTTGCAGGGATAATTGCTGAGCCTAAGTTACCATTGAAAATAAATTAACTTAGCTTTCAAAGACTAGCTGAATTAAAGAAAAAGCTTCAACAGTAATTACATGTAAATATAATGAAAACCCTGAAGTCGGTGTGAATGACTGAAGATGGGGACACTGCATTTATATCAATTCCTCATTGCAGTTCATTCCTGGAAGAGTTCCTGAGTTATACCCTTTTATCATAAACTGGTAATGTGGTGAGTAAATGGGTCCCCTGAGTTCTGTGAGCCGCTCTAACAAATCCATCCAATCCAAGGAAAAGGGGGTCTTAAGAACCTCTGATAAATAGTCAGAAGCACAGGTAACAACCTGAGCTTGAGACTGGGATCAGAAGGTTGTGGGATGGAGGGCAGTCTTGTGGGACTGAACACTTAACCTGTGGGATCTGACAGATAGTGTCAGAATTAAGTAAATTGTAGGACACCCAGCAGGTGGCCAGAGTATTGTTTATTGGATATGTGGGCAACCTCCTCCCCGACACACATTGAAATTGGGTCCAGAAACCCAACAAGAGAAAATAAATAAAAAGGTCTTACCAGGCACCTCTTCTATGCTCAGGCTTGACGATGCTTTGGAAAACACAGAAAAGTGGTCCTTCTGATATTCTAGTTGTTCCAGCCTGAACCAGGAGATACACAAACTGTAGGGAGGAGTACAAAATTGACTGTTAAGAGCTGAAATGTGTATCAGGTCTAATGTGTTACAGCTTTTAAGAGGATGTGAAAGTTACCTGTTGAAATTAAGCATGATGCTATTTCTTTAATTGATGATTTATTTCTACAAACATTTATTATATGCTTACTGTGGTCCAATAAGGTTCCTGATCCCAGTCTGGTGTTAGTGTGATGGGTGTAGGAGACAGCCATCCGAAAAAAAAAGAATGCAATGCAGACTTACAGGGGCTTTGATAGATGTCTGTGCAGGACACCTAGGCATGACGCATTTTTAATGTCATTAGAGATGTTGGAAATAATTGAGTCTAAACTCCCTCATTTAACACATGAAAAAAACTGAGGCCCAGAGAGGTAAAGTGACTCTCTAAAGGCTACACAGTTAGTTGATGAAAGAACCAGTACTAGAATCCAGGTAGGATACTTGATCTCCAACCTCAGCTGGGTGCATGGAAAGGGTGAGAGCTGAGGGATTTGCACTAGAGATAGGATGAAATGACATGAGCAAATCAGTAAAATCTCTTCTGGATTTGTTGCTGGTCAGTATTGGGGATGAGGAGAAAACATGGTGTAGAAAGAAAGATGACTGGCTCACTAGGAAATTTAGGTTTCATACCTAGCTATGACCACATACATAGAGTGTTACCTTAGATAAATGATCTAACACACTAGAAATAACGGGTTCCATGTATTTGTTTTAACACATTGTGGTTTTCAATAATGCGATGGGCCATCATGTCATCTGATTCTTGAAACAGCCCTCTGAGGTGTCATTCATAGGAGGACATCCTTATATTCCCATTCTGCAGATGAGCAAACTGAGATGTAGAAAGTCACACAGCTAGTTAGTGAGAAACTCGAGGTTAGAACTCCTGAATGCTCCTCATCTAATGATAACCATGTATACAACAGGTGCGGAACAAGAGTCATTAACCAAGAGTATCTTTGATTATATTACAGATGCATTGTGAGAGGTTTCTATGTATCCTGAGAATAATTGGAACCACACTTTTTGGAGTCTCTCTCCTCCTTGGAATCACAGCTGCTTATATTGTTGGCTACCAGTTTATCCAAACAGATAATTACTACTTCTCTTTTGGACTGTATGGTGCCTTTTTAGCATCACACCTCATCATCCAAAGCCTGTTTGCCTTTTTGGAGCACCGAAAAATGAAAAAATCCTTAGAAACCCCCATTAAATTGAACAAAACTGTTGCTCTTTGCATCGCTGCGTATCAAGAAGATCCAGACTACTTACGGAAATGTTTGCAATCTGTGAAAAGGCTCACCTACCCTGGGATTAAAGTGGTCATGGTCATAGATGGGAACTCGGAAGATGACCTCTACATGATGGACATCTTCAGTGAAGTCATGGGCAGGGACAGGTCAGCCACTTATATTTGGAAGAACAACTTTCACGAGAAGGGTCCCGGTGAGACGGAGGAGTCCCATAAAGAAAGCTGCCAACATGTCACCCAGTTGGTCTTGTCCAACAAAAGTATCTGCATCATGCAGAAATGGGGTGGAAAAAGAGAAGTCATGTACACGGCCTTCAGAGCCCTGGGACGAAGCGTGGATTATGTGCAGGTAGGTTTCCGAATTCCTGCCAGGGCAAACATACATCCAAATAAAGCAGCTTTTGTATCTCTCCAGTCATATGCTTATAGCCCATCCTTGTCACTTCTGAACACAGTGCCCCTTTCAGTGCATTTGAAAACAGCAAGACTGTTGAAAGCACATTTTGAAAGAGGCAGGGAAAAGCCTTGTAAAACTGTTAAGACTATCTATGAAAATGCTTAACTTGTGCAATGCTGTTGGTTGGAAATCAAGGTTATTTTGAACAGGAGACACTTCCTACTTTCTCTCCCCTTCCCTTCCCTGCCCCCCTTGGTTCTGCCAAGTCAAATCCAACGTCATTTTCCACACTCTTAAAATTCCCAGCCTTGTAAGAAAATAGTGTCTGCCGAGCAGAGGGTCTTGAGGGAAAAAAAAATCTGCAGACCCAAAGGAAGGCTATAAAATGGTGTTCACAGAGACCTGGCCAAATGAGGGTGATGAGAACGATTTTGATTGAAAAGGGTAACGAATTCAAAACAGACAAAGAAAAGAAATATGAAACAGGGAGAAAAAGGAAAAACCTTCCCCGAGCAAAACCGAAGTAATGTTTATTTCACTCCCCAAACAGCATTACCTCACTCACTGCAACTTGACCTTTGAAAGCATTTGTGATGGTGTTTGCTCACATGAAAATTAGGCTGGGCCGTGTCTCGTTAATTTCCTGACTGCTCACTTGTAGGGTTTCTCCTCTCCTAGTCCTTACTGAAGCTTTTTTCTTTAGGATGCTCATAGATTCTGGCCATGATGATATGAGAAGGAAGACATGTCTCAGGTTTAAGAAATCTTCCTTTTCTCTTAAGGGTACAATCCTAGGTTTTAGAAGACCCCATATACCGTGTGGCCTTTATTGCCACAAAGTCATGCCTAGTGGGTCTCTCTGTAAAATGGCATGGGAAAGGACACTGGCTTTAAATTAGCGCGTGTGTGTGTGTGTGTGTGTGTGTGTGTGTGTTAATTTTTATTTATTTCTACGGAGAGTGGTCTGTTCCTTGCTCCTTTTCCTGTGCTGCCTGAGCACTTTGAGTGCATTTCTCTGATGGCAGCCTCTTGTTTTTGTTGTTTTTCCCCCTCAGATTTAAAATTGATTTTGAGAGAAAGATTTGTTGTTCCACTTATTTATGCACTCATTGGTTGGTTCTTGTATGTGCCCTGATAGAATCCACAACCTTGGCATATAGCAGTGGTTCTCAACCTTCCTAATGCCGCAACCCTTTAATACAGTTCCTCATGTTGTGGTGACCCCCAATTTCATTGTTACAAATTGAACATAATTAAAGCATAGTGATTAATCACAAAAACAATATGTAATTATATATGTGTTTTCCAATGGTCTTAGGCGACCCCTGGGAAAGGGTTGTTCGACCCCCAAAGGGGTCGCGACCCACAGGTTGAGAACCTCTGGCATATAGGAACAATGCTCTAACCAACTGAGCTACCCTGCCAGGGCTTAGGGCACTGGCTTTAGAGTCAGTTGACTGAGGTTTGAATCCACATATTTCTACCTGGATGACTTGAGCAGGGCCATTTCCCTGAGCCTCAGTTTTCTGGATAAAAGAAAGCAATCTTACAAGGGTTTTGAGGTAATGGTTTCAAAAAATATGACAAAAGTGTACAAAAGTAGCAAAAGTTGTTAGTGATGGTGTTAATATTATTACAAGTTTCCTATTATTATTATACCAGAGGCCCAGTGCACAAATTCATGCATGGATGGGGTCTCTCAGCCTGGCCAGTGATTGGGGCCAGTTGGCCAGCAGGAGGGACTGTGGGAGGTTGGCTGGCCCTGGGAGGTTGACTGTGGGAGCTCACTGACCACCAAGGGGCAGCTCCTGTGTTGAGCGTCCGCCCCCTGGTGGTCAGTGCGTGTCATAGCAACCTGTCTACCGGTCATTCAGTCACTTAGTCTTTTATATATATGTAATCATGTAATTCTTAAAAATTATAATACATGTCAGTTGCTACAACTGTTAATTTGGGTTAATATCTGAAGAGTTTGGGGGCATTTCTTCAGTTGATACCCATCTGCATATTGATTTCTCATTTAGGGAGTTGATAGAGTTTCATCCCCAAGTTTCTCCTAATTTCTAGAACTTTCACAATTAAGGTAGTTTCAGCTAACTCAGGACATTTTATACCTACTTACATTGTGCAACTTCAGGCCTAGATGAGGGATGAAGTGACCCATTTAAAGGAAGGGATGACTGGGGAACTTGCGTAGGATTGAAAAATGATGCCCTGGGCGTAAAATAAGAAAACATCTGTTGATATTTTGCTTTTAATTGTAGTTAAAACAATCACTTGTCATTTCTAATCAAGACACGATTGTGTGTGTTTTTCTCCTTCTTATAAAGCTGCTCCTCCCAAACCCCCTTTCCCATCATTTTTGTTTTGAATTTTGTTTGTATCCTTGACAACCTGACATTGTGCCTGTCCAGGAAAAAAATAATACACAATATGAAATGTTGGAGTAGGCTTGCTGCTAGAGCCCTAATCAGCCCAGAGACCTTTCCTTCCTTCAGGCTGAAGCCTCTGGAGAGATTGACCCAGCAACAGCTGGTAATTGGGAGCTGAATCCTCCTGGGATTCTTGGTCCATTTCAAGTACTCAAGGAAGTGTAAAACACACACACACACACACACACACACACACACACACACACACACACACCACCTTGTGGCATTCTGAAACCAGGTAGTTCCATCCTGCCATCCCTCATCAATCAAATTCCCCAATATTTAGTAGCCAGGTATGCCCTGTAACATTCTGACTGACCCTGGGTCTGAGAGTTGCAGAGGAGAAGCCACAGAAAGACAAAGGAGAGAGTGGGTACAGGATTTTGGCTACTAAGCATTACAAGTGACTAACCCCCGAACGTGGAGTTCAGGTTTATTAGGGAAGGAAGGAAGCAAGCAAGGCTCAGGTGCTTATACATAAGAGAAAATGATGCTAGGGACGAAATTGACCATCTGTTCACTATCTTGCTAACCTGGCTGGAGAACACTGCTTCACTGTGCAGAGACATGACCAAAATGGTTAATTTCCAGTTGCAGCTGGGTCTTTGGCACTGGTCAGCACTCTTCACTTGATCTTGAATAGATAGATGTCTTTCTTATTGCTCTCATGACCTATTATTGCATACCTTCATCATTCTCCCAGCTCCCTACCCAAACTCCTCCCTGCTTAACTACTAACAGATGACCTTGCCTCCTACGAAAGAGAAAAGCAAAAGTATTGGTTCTGAAGGCCATCAAGATTTTCTTATTCTCTCCTATTTACAGGTTCAAGGGTATCTAACCTCACCATCTATCTCAGGTTAACATTTCTACTTCTACTCCTGGGCTCTCCGGGTCAACTCCCTCTGGTCTCCTCCAGAAAAGGATTTATTTATATCAATTACCACCTCCATTTCTCTCAGTGTTTATCTCTACTCCTCTTTCTGACTACTGTCTCAGCCTTAAAGCCACTCAAATAATTAACAACGACATGGAATATGGAGGAAAGTTTTAGTCTAGGACAGTGATGGTGAACTTTTTGAGCTTGGCGTGTCAGCATTTTGAAAAACCCTAACTTAACTCTGGTGCCGTGTCACATATAGAAATTTTTTGATATTTGCAACCATAGTAAAACAAAGACTTATATTTTTGATATTTATTTTATATATTTAAATGCCATTTAACAAAGAAAAATCAACCAAAAAAATGAGTTCGCGTGTCACCTCTGACACCCGTGTCATAGGTTCACCATCACTGGTCTAGGAGAAAGCCAGTGTGGTAGCAAATTCATCTAAGATGCTAGTGGCTGCTTTCAGAGATGGAGAAAAACAGAAGACAAATAATAAAGTGAGAAGAGAAGATTTTTCGGTATTTGCTAACTCAGTGTTCACAGAAGGTTTTCATTTTTAAATCTAGGTATTTTCTGGGGAAACTTTTTCAAAGCAGGACAGATTCTGACCTATCTAGGTATGGTTTAAGATATGGCAAAAGTCTTTGATCTTTTCAAAATAGTATTTATATTAGCTTTTTATTTACCAAAGTAACACTTATTTAAAAACTATAGAAAAGCACAATGAGCAAAATTAAAATCATCGGTAACAAATACATGACCCATAGATTATAAATTTTAGTACTTTCTGGTGTATACCTTTCAATTTTTCCCTTATTTTAAAAAAAAATTTTGGGATCATATTATATTTACTTTTTGTTCTTTTTAATACTCAATATCAGAAGACTTTAAGTATCCTTTGATAGTTAGATTATATAATTGCTTTATTCATTCTTATCTCTTATCTCCAAACATTGCTAAGTGCCAACATAAGTGGCCACCAGTCTGTATGACAAAGGAAAAACAATATTCCCCAATGTGTGCATTAGGGATTTAGCAGGTAGAGAATGTACAATAAGCATGGACATTCTCTAAAGGGAAGAATATAAGAGGCAATTTTATTTGGACTGTTGGCCTTTATTTAATTTGGCAGCACCCTAGGTATCCAAGATCCTTTGAACAGGAGAAAGACTAAATCATTCATAAGAGTTGACCCTCATTATTCATGGGTTCTTCATTTGTAAATTATGCCACTCGGTAAACATATTTGTAACCTCACATCAATGTTTGCAAGTACTTTTGTGATCATTTGCAGACATGTGGAGTGGCAAAAATTTCACTCTAGCAAGACCATGCTTTGCCTTCTTGTTCTAGCTTTTCTACTGTAAACAAGTAACTTCCTTACGGGCTAGGTAGTACTTTAGTTTTCACATTCTTGTGCTTTTTTCCCTTTGGTGATGTAGCTCTTTTAAATGGCCGCAAGTGTAGTCCTGAAGGGCTCTCTAGAGCAAGAGGCTGCAATTGCTTTATGGAGAAAATATGTTTGTTAGGAGAGCTTTGTTTAGACTTAATAGGGCTGTTGGCCTTCTAGTCAATGTTAATGACTCATATAGTGTATTTAAACATAAATAAAACAAAGTTAGGTAATGATCAGTAGACAAAAATGTTGTGACCAGAGGCTTGGAGGAAGCTAACCCTATATTCTTTCTAGAAGCAATTTTTTGGTATTTGCTAATTCAGTGTTCACAGAAACTGTAGAACAGTCACTACCATGAGTAATGAGCATCCACTGTATGCAATATGATTGGTTCCTATTCTGACTAGGAAGTCTAAGCAACCAAAATATTCTGAGGGCTGATTTTGAGAGAGTTATATGTCTCCTTGTATCCTTCATTTTAGAGGATAAGATTAATAGCACACTGAACTAGAAATGGGGAAGTGTGAATTCTAACTCAACTCTGCTGCTTACTTGCTATGGGCCTCAGTTTTTAAAAGAGTGAAACTTCCCTGACAGGTGTGGCTCAGTTGATTGGGCTTCATTCCGTGCACCAAAAGGTTGCTGGTTTGATTTCCAGTCAGGGCATGGTCAGGGCACATGCCCCAGTTGCAGGCTCCATCCCTGGTAGAGGGGGCGTGCAGGAAGCAGCTGATCAATGTTTTGCTCTCACTTCGATGTTTTTCTCTCTCCCTCTTCCTTCCTCCCTCTTTCTAAAAATCAATTAAAAATATATATTTTTAAAAGTGAAACATAGAGACTAGGCATTTTAGACTTGGGTCTTAGAATTTAAAAAGCATTTGGTAGACTAAGTGATATTTCTAGAGGAAGTTTTTATTTAAATTACAGTGAGGTAGATTAACTTTCAGATCACTGAGACAAGTTGCAATGGACTTAGTCTAATAATTTATAGATGATTATTATGGATAGTTTTAGACACAAAAGATTCTCCTTATGTAATTCATTCCCATGATTTTATTAGAGATTTTCTCTATTGGTCCATCTATTTGTGGTAAGGAGCGTTATTCTTTAGGTATGCATTTACTTAGGAAGTATAAGCATGTAAGAATTATTACTTAATGCTAATGGCATACTCCTCTACAGTCCTTTGTAATTTACAAAGTACTTTTATAGGCTGTCTCACCTGGTATCTCAATGATGGGAAATGGCTTGTTCATGGTGGTGGAGGTAGTCAGACACAGACTTAAGTTGAGACTTCTTGATTCTGAGGGCATTTGTTCTTAAAATAAGCAAATCTTGGCGAATGAAAAAAATCCAATTATGTTTTACATTTTTATACAGTTAATGTTATTTATAACACGGAGATGGAGGCAACCTTTAAAATCTACTAGAATTAAAAGTAGGACTTAGAACATATTTAATCTCAACTTTTCATTATTATTTTTTATTTTGGGAAAGAGAACCCTTCTGCTGCAACCAATTATTTCTGTCCCAAGGCAAAGTTTGCTTGTAAAGGCCTGATAGTAAATATTAAGCTTTGTAGGCATGTGGTCTTTGTTGCAACTATTCAGCTCTGCTCTTTTAGTGTGAGAGCAGCCATAGATAATATATAAGTGAATGAGTGTGCCTGGGTTCCCATACAACTTTATTTACGGACATAGAAATTTGAGTTTCCCTGTGTTACAAGATATTCCTTTTTTTAAAAAATTTTCAACTGTTTCTAGATAGGAAAGAGGAAGGTTACCTCTTGGCTAGGATAGTGAAGAAAGAAGAGAGATGGTCTCATGCACTTTAGTTGATGTTTTGTGGTTAAAAATGAGGTGGCTAGAATCTCCCAATAATGTCTTTTTGTCTTGACATTTTCCACTCATTTTAGTCAAAATTCATGTGGTGGAAACAAATCACAGTGACACATTCAGTGTGGACAGAGAGATGTTGTGATTTGTGCTCTCATAGTTTCCGGGGTACATATCATGTCCAGTAGTGTTTCTCCAGGTGAGGTTAAACTCTGTGAACTGGCGAATGTCCTCCCCCACAGCTTCTGGCCTAGAGCCAAATAGGCAACTGACATTCATGATATTACATACTTTTTATTAATTAGTGAGGGGACAACTGGAAATCCTGTTCCTGCTATTACTAATCATACTCTTTACACACTAAAAACAATAATAGTAGGTCCATGAACATACATGCTTTTCCAGACTTCATAGCTGGTGGCTTTCTATTGGCATTCAATCACCAAATAACATCCAGAAATTGAACTTCTTAAGGCTCTTTAACCTACTATAACCAACTCCTTTCCAAGGGATTTCTGAGAGCTTTCCTTTCCAGCGCAGTTAAACTCACCAAGCAAACAGTCTCTCTCTGAGAGCTCCTGGCACTTGGAAACTGGGAGGGGCAGGGCCAATTGAAACACGCAGAACCTCAGAAGTTAGGTTCAAGTTTAGTCATTTCAAAGAGGCAGTTGCCTTGGTCTGCTTATGCTCACAAGCAGGCGGAGTTACTTGAACATTAATTCTAGATTGCCCCCTTCCTGTTGTTTTTAGTCTTATTTTAGCTTTCTGGTTTTACCTTTCCCAGCTTGAGTCAATAGAGGTGGGTGTGGCCCTAAACTCTCAGGATGCTGGATTCTAAAGGCGGACTGGACTTCTGCCTTCGCTTTCTCTACCCTCCCTACAGGCCTGCCCGCCTCCTAGCCAATACAAACCAATGATAGACAAGGCATGGCAGAGGCAAGCACTGCCTCGGAGGAGTTTGTTTAGGTTTCTGAGGCTTGGGTTGAATGGGTGCAAATCCAAGTATTAGTAAAATCCTATTTTCTGCAATGAAAAATTAATGCTTAACTGTTTCCTAAATTTACCTCCCTAAAGTAAGTGAGACCATCCTGGACCAAAGTAGAATGTAATAATGAATGGACTTTTTTTTATTAGAAAATGGGTTCTTCTAAATGTTAAGTAAAATTTTAAAAATTCAGAAGTTAACCCTGAAATTGCTATACTTAGTTCTTAGATCACCAGTGAGATGTTCAGTTCACTTTTTAGAACTGGATAACCTCATTTGCTCACTTTAACCATGACTTCCAATAATGCATTTAAATTGGTGTATTCACCAACTTTCTTCCTTAATGCTTATTTTATTTTCAGGAAAAAAAATAGCTATTAGTAAAATTGACACATTTTTTTAAATGCTGAGATTTCTACATTTTGTTGTTTGAAAAACCAAATCCCTACTATTTTTATGAAGTAGTTTGGAGAACTGTAAAGATATATACTGGTGATATGAATAAATTAATCTTGATTAAATCCATTCAGTATAGTCAGACTTGATGGCAAAATAATGGGAATTACAGATAACACCCCCCATTGCTGCCAATCATGTCATTTATTGTTTGATTGGGGGTATGAAACTGGTTCATTTCATTGCCTGTCCCTTCTGATCACTCGTTATCTACTAAGATCCTACTGCATTTCCCAGAAAAGAATACAGCGTTTATTAGCATCATTCAGGAGTAGAGAGGCGGCAGCACTTTTCCTACTTCTGATTTTCTTTGATCTTGTGGAAGAAGCACCATCCCACACATATGATTCATCTGTGAGAAAAGGTAGTAGCCTTTCCCAGCTGTCTCACTCCTTCCTCTCTAAGAGAGAAGTGACTTAATCTGATTGAGTATGGAAGGAGGAAGGGTTAGCCTAACTTCTCCTTCTTCCTTTTACCTAGAAGTGGGCTATTGCCAAAGAGCAGGCATCTGTCATACCTTTAAAAGGAGCATGCACTGTATCTGCAGGAGGAGGCTGGCCTCCTTCAATGCTATTGACTATGTAGGTAATACTGTTTTATACTGGGGAACATCGTTATGAAGCCTGCTCTTCCACAGACATAAGGCCTATTCTCTGTCAGCTTTATGGGCATACAGTTGATATTTTGGTTTCTCATCTGCCTTATTTTTTTTTTCCAATTGGTTCAGAAATCAGAGTGCAAAAAAAGTACTGTTTATGACTCTGTCCACTTTGGCCTCCCGTGGAAATTTCTGTCAGGGGTCTAACAGGCATAGATCTTCTTGAAGTGAAGTCATAGTGGTTTGGTTTCAGAATTCCTTTAAAAAAAATCCATATAACATTGTTTGTAAGAACATTTCAAGAATGGTTTAAAATAATTCACACCTGCTTTTATACATAAAGGGCTAGATGAATACTTGAGTACTTTAGAATCTAAAAGATGGTCTGAATACCTTACTAGTTCCCTTTCTGATGCAATGTCATCTTCGAAGCCCAAGTCATGGACATCTTGCCTCAGAAATATACACCCGACTGGCAGGAGAATTTTCTGTCTTTTATTCATCACATTAATGGGGGAATAACTGTTAAGTGTGCCTCCCTTTTAATACTGTCTTGGGTGTATTCCTATCATCATTCAAACCTGAGGGACAAGTTGCCTAAAAGCCTTATTTAAGACATTTGAAAAAGAAAAAGGACATCTAAAGTCCTTGGGACAAGGACCAAAGTTGGGAATATCCATGGCAAATTGGGACAAGCTAGTTACCCTATAGGATAACCCAGCACATCGCTTCAGCTGTTCTAACCAGCTATATTAATAACTTAAATACTGAACTTGATGGAAAACAAGCTCTTTGTATTGGCCATGCTATAACAAACTCATCCCTGTGATATTTGTGACCAGAAGGCTGAAGACATAGTATCTATGCAAAATGTTGGCTGTGTGAATCGCTCTTATAATTCTTTATTTTCTTTAACTCGTTTTCCTTCTTCTTTGCAGGTTTGTGATTCAGACACCATGCTAGACCCAGCCTCATCTGTGGAGATGGTAAAAGTTTTAGAAGAAGACCCCATGGTTGGAGGTGTTGGGGGAGATGTCCAGGTGTGTAGTATGGCTTCGCTTTTGCCTGAGTCACTTTGGTAGAACTCTGATTCATTGATTCATTGATATGCATTTACTAGACCAAACTCTGTGCCAGGTATTACACACTAGAAGTGTCTTGAACCCAGTTTACTGCCTCTTTGTCTAATTGAAAAAATTTAGGATTTCTTTGATTAGTCCTGGCATATAATCCATGTCTTTAGTGGCTGATAAATTATGGTCTTGAGCCATAACTTAATGTTTTGGTAAAATCTGTTGTTAGAGTTCATTTAGTTGACAATAAAATAAAATGTGGCAGGAGATGGATTCCCTATCATATACCTATGTCTTTAAAAGCTGACCAACTTGTGATTGATCAAAAAATCTAAATGGGAAAACAAAGAAAGAAAAGAGAAACATCCAACTCAAATTTATACTAGTGAAAAAGATAAAGGAGCAATTGATTACTAAGTGGGCTTTCCAATTATTTATTTTTTTACTAATTATTCTTTATCTCACATTATTTGCTATCAATGGAGAAATAATTAGTGAAACAGATATTAGAATGGGAAAATGAATATGCAAAAGTATGTTAAGGTTAAAATGAGTTCTTTGCAAATGTGAGATTAGATTTTAGCAAAATGTGAAAAGCACATTGAAATTTTACTTTAAAGTTTAGGTATTATGTTGCTGTATAATCCATGTCATATTTTTGTGGTGATAGTAAAGGCAAAGAAAATGCACTACAATGGACAAAAAGTTGCCTGGTGGTAAAAAGGAAGCATGTGAAATCGAGATGAACACAGAACAAAATTGAGACAGGGGAGAATTTAGAAATATTGCCAAGAAAAGCTGATAATTTTGAATAGCCTTTACATGGAGCATTATTTCAGGATTCAAGTTTTGGAGGAAGGCCAAAGCAAACCCTTTTATCACTGGCATTGCAAAATATCAAGGAAGAGAAGGAAAATTTATAGCCAAGGATTAGATGAGTTGGAAATTAACCAGAACAGGAGGCAATAGAACTTGAAAACCATCACATCCTAGATGGCAGGAAAGTGTCTGGAAGAAGAATTTAGGGACTGAGAACTAAAGCCTAAAAAAAAAAAGAAAAAAGAAAAATCTCACTATTTTAATAGAACAAGAACAAAAAGCATAGCAAAAAGAGAACAGAGAGTGAAGTAGAAAATATTTATCATCAGAAAGTCCCAATGCATGCACACAACTTATCAAATTAATCTAGTAAAATAGAATCAGAGTCATTAAAATATAATGTCAAAAAGAGGAAGGAACCCGGCCAGTGTGGCTCAATGGTTGAATGTTGACCCATGAACCAGGAGGTTAGTTCGATTCCTGGTCAGACGACATGCCTGGTTTGCAGGCTCCCTCCCCAGGAGGCAGCTGATCAACGATTCTCTCCAATCATTGATGCTTTTATCTCTCTCTCCCTCTCCCTTCCTCTTTCTGAAATAAATTTTAAAAATCATATTTTTTTAAAAATAGAGGGAAGAAGCCAAAATAACAAACCTTACTCTATTAAGTAACCTCAGGATGGTATGGCTTTTTTGTTTTGTGTTAATCCTCACTGGAGGATATTTTTCCATTGCTTTTTAGAGAGAGTGGAAGGAAAGGAGGGAAACAGAGAAGTGGGGGGAGAGAAACATGGATGTGAGAGAGACACATTGGTTTATTGCCTTCCCCAACCATGTTGGGAGATCAAACCTGTAACCCAGGCACATGCCCTTGACCCTCAACACTTTGGTGCACAGGTCAACACTCAAACTATTGACCAGGGCAGGATGGTACAGATTTTTTTTTTTAAATTTTAAGAGCAATTATATAGGGGGTCCCAAAATTCACGCAAGAGGTAATTTTGATAGAAAACACAGGTTTATAATAAAAATTGTAAATTTTTTATTGATTCATAAAGTATACAGTATAGGGTTATGTATGGAATAGCACATCAGGTAAATGGCCTCCACAGATTTGCTGGCACATACGCAAAGTCGTGGTCTTCTTTGGTCTTCATTGTCCCTGCTCCTGGGCCATAATTGGTACTTGGTAATGCTTATCAAATTGAAGGGATTGAAATCAAAGGGCAACGGATATTAGAATCTGATTCAATAAACCAAGTAAAATTAGGCTTTTATTTATTTTTGTTGTTGTTGTTAATGGTCACGCAAAAATTCAAATCTTGCGTGAATTTTGGGACACCCTATACATATATTTTTATTTATTTAAATTCTTTATTGTTGAAAGTATGTTGGTATTTTTAACTAAGGCTTACCTTCTACTATTTTCTCCTTTTTGCAGATTTTAAACAAGTATGATTCCTGGATCTCCTTCCTCAGCAGTGTGAGATACTGGATGGCTTTTAACATAGAAAGGGCCTGCCAGTCTTATTTTGGGTGTGTCCAGTGCATTAGTGGACCTCTGGGGATGTACAGAAACTCGTTGCTGCATGAGTTTGTAGAAGACTGGTATAATCAGGAATTTATGGGCAGCCAATGCAGTTTTGGTGATGACCGGCATCTAACGAACAGAGTGCTGAGTCTGGGCTATGCAACAAAATACACAGCTCGATCCAAGTGCCTTACGGAAACACCTGTCGAGTATCTCCGATGGTTAAACCAGCAGACCCGTTGGAGCAAGTCATACTTCCGAGAGTGGCTGTACAATGCCATGTGGTTTCATAAACATCACTTGTGGATGACCTACGAAGCGGTTATCACTGGATTCTTCCCTTTCTTTCTCATTGCCACGGTAATCCAGCTCTTCTACCGGGGTAAAATTTGGAACATCCTCCTCTTCTTGTTAACTGTTCAGTTAGTAGGTCTCATCAAATCATCCTTTGCCAGCTGCCTTAGAGGAAATATCGTCATGGTCTTCATGTCCCTCTACTCAGTGTTGTACATGTCAAGTTTACTTCCCGCCAAGATGTTTGCAATTGCAACGATAAACAAAGCTGGGTGGGGCACATCTGGAAGGAAAACCATTGTTGTTAATTTCATAGGACTCATTCCAGTCTCAGTTTGGTTTACAATCCTCCTGGGCGGTGTGATTTTCACCATTTATAAGGAATCTAAAAAGCCATTCTCAGACTCCAAACAGACAGTGCTAATTGTTGGAACGTTGCTCTATGTATGCTATTGGGTTATGCTTTTGACTCTGTATGTGGTTCTCATCAATAAGTGTGGCAGGCGGAAGAAGGGACAACAGTATGACATGGTGCTTGATGTATGATCTTACATTGATTGACATTTGCAATCACACATGGGGACACAAACAAAACCTTAGTTCCTGTAAAGACCGTACAGTATTGTGGCATCAGAGAATGCCACCACAGGAGACATATCACTGCTGCTGGGACTTGAACAAAGACATTTCTATGGGTTTATTTTGATTCTGCCAAAGTAAAATGATACATCAACAAGAAGAAACTCAGATGTAACCTGTTATTTCTATGAAAATGGGAAGAATTCTTTGTTTATGCACTTTTCCCTTACTGTACATCTGCCTAACAGTGTTTTGCCCTATATACCTCACTAGCCATGCTTTATGTGGGTTATCATGGAAGAAAGGATTTTGGAAACTCAAGGAAACGTTCTTACAATGTATACAACCTAACTTATGGACTGTGTTGATAGCTAATTGTTTTTTAGAAAGGATTTTCTGTTTAACTCTACCAAATGAAATGCCAAAGGAAATTTTAAGGCCGTTGGCTGTGCTGTATTTTTATATAATTGTACTGTGTTTTAAAATTTTGTATGCCCATTTTAAAAACAAATCTTGCATATTCTATATTTTACTTCTCTGCCAAAATACACCTGTTCTTCCTTTATAAAAAAATAAAATAAAATAGGTTCTAAAAAAAAGTTCAAACTTATAAAACCTACCCAAAATGTGAAGCTTGGTTGACGGATGTTGTTCATGATAGAAAGAATAAAATGTTTCTCTCTCTACCTTTTCAAATTGAATAGTTTATTTCTGTGAAAAAGTATTTAAACTTCCAATATTTTAACTTTTTAAAACTTCTTTTGGAAAAGGCCAATAATATCTGTCACACCTTGGGAGTAAAAATACATACTTATGTGTGAAAGAAAAAGTAAATAAATGAAAATCAAGGCCAAAAGGGTAGAAAAGTGCAATTTTTTTCATAAGATTAAAAAAAAAAGGGAATGCTCAAAAGAAAACACTGGGCAGCCAGCACTGGACATAACATGCATATCACAGATGAATAATTGAAGATTCTGGCAATGGTTTCCCAGGCTGAGTAATAGGGGAAGTGGAAAAATTATCTGTATAACTTGGACAAATACAATGAAATTAATTTTGTTCTGTGGCTTGAATTCACCAGATCCTGTCTATATATTGAACATGTTTTACCTGTCTTTTCCAGCTTGCCAGTTCACTTTGTGTGTTAGCCAGAGGTTTCCAGGATTTAGTTGGATAAATTAAAATAAATGTAAAGTGTACAGATTCAAAATGGCTGGTTTAAGCTCCAATTATCAGCCTCTTTTACTTTCTAATGAGGCTTTTATTCTGAATTATTCTACGGATAATTTCATCTTTTCTGCTGACCAACATAAATATGTTTACATAGTAGAAATGATATCAAGGTTTAATAACTATCAAAAATTGGCACATGAAAAATTAACAAACCAGATGCCTGTAGTCTAGCTAATTTCGCTTCTCCAGAGCCTCAGTTATCCAGTCTGACTTGACACGACCCATCTTGCTTTGTAGCTGGTGCTGTGTAGACCTGTGTTAAAAACACAATTGAACCCATGAATAGTTGCATAGAAAGTATGGTGAAGCAGAGTCATGTGGAGAAGTGTTGGACCATGTGCTTCCTGCTTTTCTGCTTTTTTCAAGCAGACATCCACGTTCCATCTATCCTAAGAAAAAGATGCACATTCTACCTTTGGAATACAACAAGGTACATAACATCCTTCCACTCCATCTCTCACTGATTGGAGAGCTTGTGGGAAACAAAACACCGTGCCAATAAATGAGACTAAAACTTGAGTTTGCCTTTTTAACTATTTATGTTCTAAGTTAAGCTTTGATAACATTCAAATGTCAAATTCTCTCATTCTTATAGAAGATTGAATTAATTGCCTGTATTTATTTTAGCAATTATTCAATGTATTTCCAGTATAGGATGTATAGTATAATTCTTTTTGTAAATAAAATATTTTTGATAAGATTTTTGTGTGTTTTTTTTCAAGGGAATGGGGAATTTCAAACAAAACATTACCTGATTGTAATGGTATGGATTTAAGAATGGATTATATTGGGGGGGAGGGGCAAACGAAGACTGGCCTGTTCCTTATCTCTACTCTTCTACTTTCCTTTACAGCAGTGTTTTTTTTAAAACAGTACTTTATGATAGCAGGAAAACAGGTTTTCAGAAATTTGTTATAGCATTATAAATAATAAAATATTTTGAGAGCAATAATTGAATTATGGTATTTCCAAATAATGGAACATTATTACCCATTAAGCACAGTGTTCTTAGAATATGAGGATATTAGAGAAATGATAAATTAAAAATATATACGCAATTTATACAATAACATTCCAATTTTGTAAAAACATGTTTAAATGTGGTTATCTCTACTATTGAGAATATGATTGCTTTATATTCCATATACTATTGTATTTTCCAAATACCCTAATCATGTATTGCTTTTCTAATCAGAAAAAGGACAATGAATATTGCTCCTTTAAAAAACAAAAGTGGATTGGGACATCTAATAACATTTTCTGGTTTGAGGCATTTTGGTGGTAATTTTTCTATTTTACCACTTATACCTCAAATTTGTCTTTTATTCCCAATTTTTATTATCAGTTACTAAGAATCCTTCATTACCTTGTCACAATCACATTAAAACTATAGCCACTGAATAGTATTATATGACTTTTCAACTCTGCTATTGTAGCACAAAAGCTTCCATAGGCAGTATGTAAACAAATGTGTGCTGTATTCCAATAACATTTTATGGACACTGAAATTTGAATTTCATATAATTTCCATGTTGCAAAATATTCTTTTAACATTTTTACGATCATTAAAAAAATTAAAACTTAGTTCATTAGCATTACCAATATGGGCGGTGGGTCAGATTTGGCTTGTAGGCCATATTTGAATGACCCTGTTCTTTAGGAATCTGTTGACTTCTTTGTGCTATTGCACAGCAACACCTAATATTTGAGCACACACCATGTGTCAGGTACTGCCAGAAGCACATTGTATAGACTATTTAATTCTCATGTCAGTACCAAGGGGGGTGGGGTGCGGATTCCCTTATGTATTACCATTCTACAGGTGAGGACTCTGAGGCTTAGAGATTTGGTACCTTGGTATCCTAAAGCTAGCAAATTCTGGTGCTAGAATTGAAGTCTAGACGTTATGATGTTAGACTTACCCTTTGCATTAGTGCTACTCAGTATGTCATCCACTGTCCAGAAATATCAGCATCACCTGGAAATTTCTTAGAAACACAAATTCATGGCCTCAGGCCCACTGAATTAAAATCTCAGGCTGGGACCAGGAATTAGTGCTTAATAAGATCCCTAGATGACTTTTATTTCCAGTAAAGTTTGAGAAACATTGTTCTAATCTAGCATCTCAGATTGTTCCCCTCAAACCAAGTATAATTTCTATGGTCGTTATTAGTGAACAATTCAAATATTTGTATTTTCCTCTGGAACTTTTCTTTTAATATTACATATGAATGTTAGCAGATACCTGGTTTTAATTAAGTTTACTGAATACCTGTTAATGAGCAAGAAATCAAGGGGTGTGGATTTTCTCTATACTCATAGAATTTGTAATTAAGAGGGATAAGATAATTACACAAACATCTGATGCAAAACAGAATAATAGGGGTCTATAGGGTGACATATGGATATAAAAAGAAGGAATGGAATGCACAATTAGCTCTGTAAAAGGCTTCAAGATAGTGTAGAGTCCAGGTGATTCTTTAACTTAGAAGGCTTCAAGATAGTGTAGAGTCCAGGTGATTCTTTAAGGATGTGTAACTTAGGAACAAAGAGGTGTGATTTTGATATGTAATCCTTTGAACAGAACTAACAAATTTAACTAAGGTGTATGCTGTATCTAATCAACAGTTCAGACTTAGCTGTAGAATACACACTTGAAGGTGGGTCATAGACCATAACACAATTGGGAGAAATGCCCCAATGAGGTGTTTAAGTTGGACAGATCACAGATATTTTTGAAGAGGGTGCTAACATGGTTGTAAAACAAACTACTTGATGGTGGTTTGGATTTGAACATCCCACATAAACAGTTATATTTGGAAATATGATTTGGTTCAAGTGTAATCATAAACTGGTACTGTGTTCTTCCGATAGGATCACTTTCATCACATTCCCTCCAAGCCCACCTCCTGTTTCACATCCTCAGTTAATGGATGGCACCCGACACTGCCTTCAGCTTCTTTTACTTCCCTCTAACCGCTAGTCCCTACAAGGTTGTGATTCCTTCTTTGCCATGTCACTCAAATTCATCTCTCGCCCTTGTTAAGATGTTCTGTATCTCTTACTTGAATTGTTAAAAACACCTAACAGCCCCTCTTTATCCCATTCCTCTCTCACTCAATGGATTTCCTACATTTCTGTCAAAATGATCCTTCTAAGATTTAACTCTTAGGGCCTGCCTTATCCTTGACTTCTGCTTCTGCAGATTCAACAATCTGTGGAATCAAAAATATTTAAGCCCTGGCCAGTTGCTCAATGGTTAGAGCATCGGCTCAGAGACTGAAGGGTTTCTGGTTTGATTCCCGTGGGAGGTTTCAATTCCCAATCAAGGGCCCGCACCTTGGTTTCAGATTCAATCCCCAACTGAGGCGCCTACTCAAGGCAACCAATCAGTGTGTCTTTCTTACATCAAAGTTGTTTTTTTCTCTGTCTGTTTCTCTCTCCCACTCCCTCCCTCCCCTCCACTCTCCCTAAAAATCAATGGAAAAATATCCTCGGGTGAGAATTAAAAATATATATATTTGAAAAAAAATATTATGTTGTTGCTGACATGTACTATGCAGTTAAGCCTGTGATGTTTGCATCTGTACTGAACATATACAAACTGATTTTTTTCTTCTCATTACTTCCTAAATAATATAGCATAACTATTTACATAGCCTTTTGCATTGTACTAGGTGTTAAATAATCTAGGGATGATTTAAAGCATACGGGAGGATAGAGTAGGTAGGCTTTGTGCAAATGCTACACCATTTTATGTAAGGGATTTGAGCATCCATGGATTTGGGTGTTTGAACAGGTCTTGGAACCAATTCCCCCAAATGCTAAGGGATGACTGTGCAAAGGTTTAACTTCATGTCTTTGTCAACAAGAAAAAAAGCATGAAATCTTTAAGAATACATTCAAAGCTGATTATCTATATCCTCTCTAGCAGACCTCTATCCTGTTATTTTTTCATGGTCTTACTAAACTAGGTTTTTTGCTCTCTCTCGCGCACACATTTTGCCCTTTTCCTTTATCACTGTTCACATTTTGTTTTCAACCGGAAATGGCATTTCCCCTCTCCCCCACTTCTATATCTACTTGTCAAAATTCTTTTATGTCCTTCAATCAAGGCATAACTTTACTACTACCTCCTTCTCCCAAATACCTTCAGCCTAACTAGATCTCTCACTCCCCTTCACTCCAGTATTTCATTGTATCTCAGCCATGCAGCCCAGACTTTTTCTTTTGCCCTGTGTTATGACTATTGGTGGACAAAAAGGTGTTTGAGCCTGTGGCTATGCTTTCGTAATTTTTAAAATCCTCTGTGCTGACTAGCACAGTCAGGTGCTCAAAATTTGGCAAATAAGCAAATGAATATACAAAAGAACGAGGAAGGAAAATGGACTCAAATTATGATTCTTTTTTTAAGGAAAGTTTATCGCATTTTTGGAGCTTTGCTCTAGGACAA